CAGGCAGGCGGGTTCAAATCCACCAGCTGTTGAGGGAGAAAGATGGGCTATTTCCTCCTGTTCTTTCCAAGCATGATGTCTTTTTCCAAGACCAGCCCCCACGAAAAGCATGCCCAAAGCATGTGAGATGAGGCTTCGCCATCGTTGCTTCGAAGGAGAACTCTAGTGACACTTTCTGCAAGACATTTATTCTTTTGGTAGTTCGTGGGATACACAGTACTCCTGCAACACAACTCAAAATATTTCAGTTCTTCTACCATCCTGACTCACTGTCCAACTGTCAGATGCATAGCAAGAGATTGCAAAAACTAGAGCTTAAATCAGGCACACCGTAGTCTTTAGATATCAATGCTTCACAGTACTTTGGAGAGGTCCCTGACAACAGGTTCTCTCAATCCAGTCTTTTGATTTCCTGACTACTGGTAAAGTGTTTGTAGATCCAAGCAAGACTAAATTGTTGACAACTTTTCTCTACCATCATGCTGCCTTTCAGTCTAGTAGCGAGTTCTGTCTTTTTAATGTTGAGACATAATCCATATTGAAGGCTATATATAGCCTTTCATCTTCTGCAGTTTCAAGTCTTCCTCACTTTCAGTAGGCAAGGTTGTCACATCCTGTATAACACAGGTTGTTGTCCTCCAATCCTGATGCCACATTCTTCTCCATAAAGTCCTGTATCTCCAATTATTTTTCTCAGGATACAAATTGAAAATGTATGTAGAAAGGATATAGCTTTGATACACATCTTTCTTGATTTTAAACCATACAGCATTCCCTTGCTCTGTCTGGACAACTGTTTCTTAGTCTAGGTAGAGATTTCGTGTTAAGAAGTAAAAAACTATACTCATTCTTTATGCTATTAAAGAAACCTTCCTAATAAGCATTTCTCATATATGAAGACAAAGTAAAGTAACTAAAGGAGCAACTGTTGAATGCTTTTGATGGATCAAATACTCATTGGATTTTGGTGATATTGGAAGCTCAGAAATTGGAAAGAGTTCTTAAGAGAAACCAACCCAAACACACTGCCATGAAATACATTTAAACTTATAGAGTAACCCTGTAGAACAGAGAACTGATGGGGTTCTCGAGGCTCTAAAATGTAAAAAACAAGATTGTCCTATCTTTCTATGGAACAGCTACTGAGTTTGAACCTTTTCAGTCACAGCTTGACCATTTAACCCCTGTGCCATTTGAAAAAGCGACTGTGATAGTTAAAAAAAAATTACACAGCATACTGCTTTCACAGTTCACCTCTGCCCTCTTAAGCAATCCAAGTTGAGTATTATTGGCACAGCATTTTTATCAGGAGAAACCAAGTGTCAGAAACAAACTTTACAGTAACACTGCTACTGGCAGTGATTAACTCCATAGCTAAAGTCTGATGTTTGTCTATTACTTTCTAGTTGGCATGGAGTTCAACTGCCAACCCAATAGCAGGCAGTTCAAATCCATCAGCTGCTCTGAAGATGGACAATCTCCTGTCCAATTTAGTTTTAAAATACACCAGAGGATCAGGTATGAATCAGTTTTGTCCTGATGGCAATTGAGTTTTTTGGTCTAGATCCTGCCACTTTAAAATACAAGTAGATAAACCTAAGAATGATGAGCCATCCTGCAGCCACCAAATTGAAATCCTTCCCTTTGTGTTTGTAACGTTGAATTGGATCCAACTAGCATAGGAGACTGCCCCTTCTTCTGTATAGCTGGTGGATTCGAACAGCACACCTTTGGGATTGCAGCACAGCTTCTTGTCATGAGGCCACCAGAGCTCCCTTCCTTTTCCCAGACCTTTTCTTTCCCAGAGCATCCCTGATACTAGGAGACTACAAAAGATGGACTGAGCCATTGGCACACACTCAGCTGTTTGACACTGCATCCAAGGTAACCTGAACCCTGAGCCCTGTGTTGCAGCTAAGAAAGCGAAAGTGGATGGGACCTCAAAAGTTGCCAGCCACTCCTACTGGACTTAACCGCTCACACTGCAGTCCAGAGAGCAGAAAATGTCATGAAAACACCTTTTAACTAAACAAGGCATGCAGCTTCGACTCAGGACCACCAGTACTGTTAAAAGTGGGTTCCTCTTCCATCAAAAGGGGAACCCACAAATAAAATCTTTGTAAAGAAGCCCTACTCCTGGTATGTTTGTCTTAGATATAAAACTGAAGTAACAAGAGGGGGGAGATGATGGGGTGGTATTAATAAATTCAGAATTCTTCAAATTAAAAAAAAAACAACAAACCAACCACAAACAAAAAACCAACCAAACCAAACCAGAGTTTGCCAGAGAATGAGACACATTAGGATTGACAGTGGGATCTTTACTAACAAACTATTTGAGCCAATACCTAATTTACATGAGCCAGTCATTCAACTAGGGGATGAACAAAAAAGCCAAGGCTCCAAGGCGTATTTGCTATACACCAGAACTATTAGGGAGAGGGCCAAAGGTAGGGAAATTGGATCATAAAAACATCTTGAGTGGAAAACTCATTTTCAATTGGATCTGACTAGTCATTGAACTGAAAAAGTTATAAAAAATTAGTCTAAAACTTGAGAGCTCCCAGTCTATGGTGATTAAGGAGTTGTGCTGCCAAAACAAGCACATGGTCAAATCCACTCACCACTGTGGGAGGTATCTGGGGACAATCTCAGGACAGCCAGATTTTCATCCTCTGGCGCCTTGGGAAGGTCAGCTTTGATTCAATTCTGATTAGATGGCAGTGAGTTAACACTGTGACAAGTTATGTTTTAAAGACAAGGATGTTGACAAATCTGAGCCAAAGGACAAAAGCAGATCAGGCACATATTAATGGAGATTGAAAAGGACTAGCCAATGAAGCATGAAGAAAAATCAAGAGTAATCAAAGAAAGCAGCCAGAAAGAATTGTCAAAGCTCATTTATAAACTGCTGTCATGAAGTTTGACCCTGTTGACAAAAGTATCCTTCCCCTAGAGTTCCCCTGTAACTCTTTACAGTCAAAACTGGTTTTAACTGCTTTATGGTTTTATCTATAGAATGAGCACAGATCCTACATATACGATTAAACCTGCAGGATTATAGTACTTGAGTTGTAGGGACAGTGTAATGTTAAGTAGGTTCAGAGATGGGGAAAATGTAAAGCTATTTTGACAAACCATTTTCTGATAAATAGAAGGTATTTGGGAAAGTAAAAATGCAAAAACTTAGGTCATTGTGCATTTCTACATTGTGCAGATACTGAAAATGAAAGGCATGCAAGCAAGATATATACAAATGTATTTGAATATAGACATCCTGAAGCATGTTAGGGTTTAGTATTGTTCCCTCCTCTGCCATGAGTCAATCGGACTTTTTTTAGCCCAGCCTTCCTGGGACAATCATGAAAATAAGGTATAGAAGATGAGTTAGTCCAAGACATGCTTCGGATGTAATTCCTCCTTTAGGGGAATTAGGCGTAATTTTTTTCAGGCTTGTAACACCCTTAAGTTGTATTTTAACTTAAAATCCGCTTAAACAAATCTCTGCTTTGCTTTTATCATTCATGTTACTCTTTAAGCTCAATCATTACTGTTTGTTAGTAGGACACCAGAACCTTCCACTCAAGCAAGATTTATTTGGGTGCTCACAATATCGCAGTGGAAGGTAGAGCAGTAACCCTCCATGGGTTTTCAAGGCTCAAAGTCACAGGGAAGGGAATGCCCACCTTTCTCGAGTAGTCACTGAATGATTCGAATTGGCAGAGACAGATTGCATAACTCTTCAAATTAAGATGGGCCTCCTATCTCTAAAATAATAAAGTCATCAATTTCTAAATGTTATCTGAAGTCATCAATAACATCAACAGAGAGAGAGATCAACTGGCCCAGTGAACAGAAAGCGATGCTACCAAGACAAAGGTGGGTGACTTTTAATCCACGGCCCTCGGGGCTGGCTTTCCTTGTTTTTGTTCAGACATTCCTCTAGGTCATATAGCCCTGGTGTACAAGTTGCCGTATAGTGGTAACTTGGTTGCTGTGAGGCTGAACACTGTGACACTGATGTGTCAAATGTGTTAATGGTTGGCTACCCAATGTGGACAGAGTGGGGTGGAGCTCCCTGATTCAAACAAGCTTGGAAGGAGTGGCATCCACTTCCATAATAGCTTGCCTCCAGAAACCCTATGAACCTGGAGAGAGGATGAAAGAACCCAAGCATTGCTATGAGTCTCCTGGGTCTAGAAGGCACTTAACATCTGAAGTCATACACAACTCATCAAGTATCACAATGTTTATTGATAGATACAAGTATATAAAATCAGGGCATGAACATGACTTGATAAATTAAGTAGACTTAATTTCAATACTATAA